CCTGTTCTTGGCACATAGGATTATATCATTTTCATCATGGCTGGCTCCTCAATTTACAGAACAGAAGAATATTGGATCAAGTCAGGAGACTCCAGTTCTAATTCCAGTTTTGCCAATAACATGTAACACGACTTTAAGAGTTGAGCTTCTCTAGGAGAGACCCTGTTGAATGCCTGCTGTGTGGCAGGCACAGTAGCTGCAGGGGTGCAGGAGTTAACTACACAGACATGGTTCTTGCCTTCATGGAACTTACAGTCTAGTGAGGTAGTTGGAGATAGACTTTATATAAATGGCCACACTGTCAGTTAATTACAGTTTTAATAAGAGACTTTAGAGTATATACCGATGAACCTACAGGTGTTTGGGGCAATAATTCATGGTTTTCAGAGGAGATGACACTTGAATAGCAATCTGAAGAATGAATTAAGGCAGCGAAAGCTTGGTCCCCAACCTGTTGGCAACAAGGACCAGTTTCATGGAAGACAGTTTTTCCACGGAGGGAGTTGGGGTGATGGTTTCGGGATGAAACTGTTCCACCTCAGATCATCAGACATTAGTTAGATTCTCATAAGGAGCTCACAACCTAAATCTGTCCCATGCACATTTCACTGCAGGGTTCCTACTCCAATGAAAATCTGGTGCCGGTGCTGATCTGACAGGAGGCAGAGCTCAGATGGCACTGCTCTCTTGGCCTTCTCCCTTCCTGCTGTGCTGCCTGGTTCCTAATAAGCCATAGACGAGTACCCATCTGTGGCCCTGGGTAGTTGGAGACCTCTGAACTGGATGGAGGTAGCCAGGTGTGGTGTAGGAGGGTAGGAGGGAGTGCTGCAGGTGCATGTGCACAGCCCAGGATGGAAAGGAGCACAGAGCACACTGGAGGACACAAGATGGGCAACACAGCTAGGGCCTAGGGAATGCAGCAGAGAAAGCCATGGGATGACTCAGGAGTAGCAGGCAAGGGGCCTGATCATGCTGTGGCATTGCAGATCATGAAAGATTGAGATCTTCAATCTAAGAGTACTGGGAAGCAGAGGCCATCAAGAGGGGCCATAAAAAGGGCAAACCATCCTGGGGCAGGAAATAAGGGATAAGGGGTGGGTTGTTTACAGAGCGTTGACAATATTAAAACTGACTAAAATTTCATCTGGTTTTTATTTCCACCAGGCACTGGTGATTCTATGTCAGTCAGCAGTGTGCTGGTAAATGTCCAACAGCTGACTTGCTGGGGGAAATAGAAATATGTGCCTATACAAATTGAATAAAAAGTCAAAACCCATAGGTACGCTGTATCCAGATCCATCTCATAAGCAAGGACACACAAAGACTCAAAACAAAGGGCTGGTGGAAGACTCACCAATCAAATGGAGAGAGAGAAAAAAAAAAACAGGAGTTGTAACTTTCATCTTTGACAAAATAGACTTTAATAGTAACAAAGACTAAAAGATACAAAGAAGGACATTACATAATGGTAAAAGGATCAACGCAACAACAGGAGTCAATGATTATAAATATATATGCACCCAATATAGGAACACCCAGATACATAAGACAAGTTCTTAATGACTTATAAAGAGACTTGGACTCCCGCACAATAATAGCGGGAGACTTTGACACCACATTGTTAATATTCGACAGATCAACAAGATAGAAAATTAACAGGGACATCTATGATTTTTTTACTGGAACAAGTAAACTCAGTGAATATTTATATAATTAATTCTTCACCCCAGGTCCATAGAACATACATTTTTCTCAGTATCACATTACACCTATTTTGAAAGTGACCACATAGTTGGAAGTAAATAACTCTTCAGCATTTGCACAGCATTTCACAGACTTAAATGAAATATTGGTTGGCTGTTTGTTTATTTTCTTCCCTTATTCCTTCCTGTCTCCGCTGTTAAGCACAATTATCGGCACAAAAGAGGTTTTTAATACCTATTTTTAGATTGCATTCCAGCCTGGGCGATAGAACAAGACTCCTGTTCTCTCTCCCTTTCTCTTTCTCTTTCTTTCAAAAATAAAAAATAAAAATAAATACATAATAAAATAAAATACCTGTAGCAAAAAAAAGTGCCTATATATACAAATGTATATTATAAATGTTTCTGATAAAAAGGATGTGTAATAAACAATACACAATTTTTAAAAAAAATAGGCAGATACTCTTTATTGTCAGTTCTATTTTGGCTGATTCTAACAGAAAGTTTTGGTTCCTTTTTGCCAAAGGCTTGTGTCTGAATCCATCCAATGCTTGTAATCCATCTATGAGGTGACTAGTGAAATTGCATACCGATCTCCTTTTTGCCAACAACTTTATTGTCCTTAAATCTGATATGTGGTCTGTTAAGCTACTTCTTAGTCTTGTATAAACTCACTGAACTGCAATATTTTTGTTTCAGCACTAAGCGCAACACATTTTTAGGTTTAATCTGCATTATTAACATTTTCCCCATCACTTTCTTAAGTCTAGAGACCACCAACAAAACAAATCAATCCCTGATTTATGGTTCACAATGTTGGCTAATTTCTACGGTGTAAACACTTCCACCATGGCCCATTACATTCTACCAATGAGACATCACTGAGTGTGGGCCGGGAAGAAGCACGCGCAGTAAGTACATCACGAAATATAATACCGGAAATGGAAGAAAGTGGACAGACTTCAGAAATATTTAAGAAATAGAGTCTTGGAGATTTGTTAGATGCCGGGGTGAAGGCAGAGTTTGGGAAACACTGAATGGATGGTGGTGTCTTCACTACCACCGGGAGACAGGAAGTTGAGAGCAAGCAGAAAATGCATGCATTCAGCTTCGGATGGGTTCCATTTGAGGTGCTCATTACACACGCAGGAGGAGTAGCTGAATAGGAAGCTAGATAAACGGGTTTGGAGCTCAGAGGGGCACAGATTAGGGTGGTAAATTTGGGATATTTGGGTAAATTTGATTTAAGTGTTGACGGCAGGTTAAATCATTCAGGGAAAAATTGTGGAGTAAGAGGAAAGGTGCGAGACCTTGAAAACTCTGTTATTTGGAGATCATCCAAAGCAGATAAGCGCGCCAAGACAGGACAGATAGGAAAGTGGAACACCCTTCCGCCACAGGAAGATGTGTTTCAAAGAGGAAAAAGGAATTTTGCTGAGATCAAATAACATGAGAAAGTAAAGTGTCCTTTGGCTTTAGTGATGCGGATGTTACTGGCGACCATTAAAAAGGCAATTTCACTGAGTGTGAAAACGAACACGTGAATGGAGTTGAGAAACCAAAAAACTGGGGCGCCTCCTTCACCAACTTCAGCGATGGAAAGTAGGAGAGGGCGGCAGCTGCAAGGGTACGTGGAGTAGAGAGTCTTGAGAATGATGAAATGCCGAGGATGCGGATTCTAGTCCATAGAGAGCAATGGATCGGATTCTGCGATACTGGAAAAACGGAAGGGGGGGGCTCGGTGATGAGAGGAGGGAACAGGTGTGCAGTTTCGCCGGAGGAAAGTGGAATAAGTTTCTCTTTTTTCCTGAAGCAGGCGGCAAACACCTCTGAGAGTGAGAGTGTGGGGGGTGTGGCGGCCACTCGGGTGGGAGTGGAGGTTCGGGACCAAGCGGGTGGAGCCTGTGATGAGTGGGCGCGCGCTGGGTGGCTCTGGCCGCAGCAGGGTTCATGCGGCAGCATGGCTCGGCAGGAAGAACAGGGCTTCAGTCAGTTCTGTTGTGAGAAGCAGAAGGTGGAGACACGCACGTTTTAAACAACTCCTCCGGGATAGGAAGAAGTGGAGTTCGGGCTGTTCCGCGGGGACCACAGCGCGGGCGAAGCGCGAGACAGGCCAGAAATAGGGTCCCGCGCGCGACCGCGGAGAAAGAGAGAGGGCCTGCTCCGGTTCCCGCAGCCCACCTCGCCGGGCCCGGCAGGGGCCGCCCCTTCCCGCCCCGGCCCCGCCTCAGCTCCGCGCCCACAACCCGGCTTCCTCCTCTACCGCCTGGTCCGTCCGTCCCTGCGCCTCCTTCGCCGCCGACTAGCGCCCCCTGGCCTGACGTCACCTGCGCGTCCGCCAATCAGCTGAGGAGGGACCGGGCTGCAGCCTGACAGTGACGGGAGCAGTAGCCAATGGTCGGGCGGAGGGGGCGGGCCGAGACGGGTGTTGGGGGGTGCCCGCGCGCGTGGGGAGCTGCGGGCGGCGCGGCGCAGGGGGCGGGGGCGCGGCGGGGGGGGGTTGGTGCGCAGGCAGCCCCTCCCCCTGCCAGGTCCGGGCGGGCTCCTGGAGCCGCTGGAGTTTCCGCACCCGGGAGGGAGATGCGGTCGCCGCTCCGGCGCCTTGCAGGTAACGCGCGGGGCGGCCCCTGCAGGGCCAAGCGCGCTGAGGGGCGAGCGGAGTTGGACGCGAAGCGGGCGCCGGCTGCCTGCTGCTGCCGAGTCCCAAGCCCCGCACAGCGGCTCGGGCCCGGGGGCGGTGCTGCTGGAGGAGTTGGTTCCGGGACCCGGGCTGCGGCCGGGGCCGGGGTCACGGACAACGCTGGCCCCGGTGTGAGCCCCACACGGGACAAAGGGCGCGACGTGGAGGGTGTGCGCCCCGCCTGCCCGCGACCCGCTCGGGCCCCTGCGCTCTTTCGCCCGGGAGGAGGTCGCCGCCCCAGCCCCTGCCGGCTCAGCCGAGCGGGCGCTCCCTCGGCCCGGGCGCACCGTGCGCCTGCGGCGCGTTCCCGGAGCGGCCATCTGGCCGCGGGGCCCCGCGCCTGGCCGCCAGCTGGCCGCGGCGCAGGCGATGGCTGGGCACAGCCGGGCCGCTTGGCCGCCTGCCCTGGGTTTCGCCGCTGCTCCCCCGCCGTGCTGCGAGCGCCTACTACTACACGCTCGGCTGCAGAGCTGAGCGGCGGGAACGCGAGGCAACCGACCCGGGCGCCCGGGGCCACCGAACCGCCACTTCCCGGCGTGGGCTCGGAGTTTGGGGAAGCCGAGCAGGTGGCGCAGCCACTGCCCACCTCCTGCGAACTCTGCGGGGTTCTGGTCTTGTTGATGTTGTGGCTGTGTGCTGCGTGTGTGTTTTTCTTTCTTTCTATTTTTTTTTAACCACACACAAAAGAAGGGAGGAGTTAGAGGAACGGTCTAGCCACTATGAGTCATCCCACACTTCGCTCTTTCCCCGGGAGAGCAAATGCATGAGGAGAATGTCTTGAGAAACAGAGTAGGTACTGACTAGGTCTCCCTGTCCCCTTTCTCTGCTGTCGCCTCTGCGCCTGGCGCGCCCGGATGAAGGGGAGTGGGTAAAGTGACGGCCAGCGCACCTAGATGGGGGAAATGGTTACAAGCTGGCCAGCTGGAAACTTTCTGGGACAGTGGAACTGTGAATACCGAACCACACACATTCTTGCTATAGGCAGCCATGGCCCTCGTGTGCTACTGAATTAAAAAATGGGAAGGCCGGTCGCAGCAGAATGATACCTTAGCTAGCCTTCAGTAGCACGGATTCAGCACTGCATGGAGGAGGGTGGTGATGGTGGCTAGCTCCCCTGCCTTGAGGGGCCCAGGATAGGATCAGCTAGGAAACTGCCAGGCCGGGATGCTGGGTCACAAAGATTGTGTTCTCTAATCTGATTCCCAGAAGCGCTGTCACCTCTCAGCGTGGCAGAGGATAGCTGGCTATGTAGTTGAAGTGTTACACATGAGGTAGAAAGGCTGGGCAGAGGTTAGCAGGCCCTTGATGCAAGGAGAGAAATACTCTTCAGTAGGTGGCTGCTGCTAATTTTTCCAAGGGGAAACATTTAGGTTTGATCTCTCCACTCTGTTTACTGCAAGCCAGGCCGCTGTGTCAGCTGTCATTGGGTCCTCATGGTTCACAGCTGGATAACATTTGTTTCTCGGGAGTCCTCTTTTTGACCTTCTCGATGATTAATTTGTTTTAACCTTCTGAAAACAGAGGCTTGATATGAGAAATTTGAGAAATTGTAGGATAATTCTTGATATTACAGGCTTGATATGAGAAGTTTGAGAAATTGTGGGATCGAGGGACCTCTGCTTTGTTCCAGATTCAGCCCCTGTTGAGGGGCCAGTTGATTCTGATGTAGGAATTAGGTGGCGAGCAGAACACTGACTTCATTCCTCCTGGCTTGTGCCCTCTGTCTGGCCTGTAGCTGAGGCCACAGTGGGTCTCTCTTCCTGTTGCTTCATAAGGTGAACTGACTATCCAGCTCTGGCAGAGGAGCCAGGGAGCCTAGGCAGGACATCATGTGGAGAAGAGGGACCAGAGGGTGCGACCTAGAGCCCATCTGGAAGAAAACAGAGCATCACTTCCTACTTCATGGTCTGGGTATAAAAAATGGTGGAGGTGAGCACGGTGATTCACACCTGTAGTCTCAGTGTGTTGAGAGGCCAAGGCAGGAGGATCGTGTGAAGCCTGGAGTTTGAGAACAGCCTGGGCAACACAGTGAGACCTGGTCTCTACAAAAAAAAAATTTTTTTAATAGCCAGTCATGGTGGCATATGCCTATAGTTCCAGCTACTTAGGAGGCTGAAGTGGAAGGATCCCTTGAACCTAGTAAGGTGAGGCTGTGGTGAGCTATGATCATACCACTGCACTCCAGCCTGGGTGATAGAAAAAAAAAAAAGAGGGGGGAGCTTGAAGAGGGTGGTCCCCCATCTCTACCACCTTACTCAGACAGGACTTCTTTTGCCTGAGTGCTAAGCCTAGCTCAGATCATTGAGGAACGGAAGTCATTTAGTGTTGGAGGAAGGAGAGTTGGGAACTGGGTCACTGTGTACAGTTGGACAGTTTGTGTAAGACACCTGACCAAGGAAGCCATGTGCCCTGGGTCTGCCCAAAAGAAGGGTACGCCTTTCTCAGTTGCACCAGGTCACCCGATGGGCTGCTGCTGGCCCTGGTGCTAAGCCCATCTGCAGGAATAAACAGTGGCAACATGGGTGTGCTCGAGGCAGGAGATCAGGGACTGGGAAGCAGCAGCTAATTTCTCCAAAATCTAACGCTAATGGGAACTAGTTGTTTGCATATGTGCTCTCCTTTAATTCTTACCCCAGCCCTCTGATGAAAGTAGTGGTGGTACCGTACTGTGCCAGTGAGGAAGTTGATCCTTAGAAAGACTAAGCAGCTCAAGGTCGTGCAGCTGGCAAGTCTGGGTTTGTCTGTCTCTGTAGCCTTTCTCTCAACCACTGAACTAGACTGAGAACTTTGACTGGCTTTCTAATAAATTGTAGCTTTTTTTTTTTCTTTTTCTGCGATTGCTAGTGAAAGGCATTTTCTGAGCTATTCCATGATATACATTGACAGTAAATCCCTTGAAAGAAAGGAGCATTTGTGAGTATTTTCAGTGGCAGCAAACAAGTGAGAGGCCTTGGAGAAAGAAGGAGGAGCTACCTGAGATAGAGAAGCCGGGGAGTCACAGCGAGGAGGGGAGAGCCAGCCAGAACTGGGAAATGATGTGGGGGCAGAAGTCTTGGAGGTAGGTCAGGTTCCCTGCAGTCCCTGCAAGAGCAGAAAAGATCATCTGAGATCCACTGACTCAGCCATCCACCTGACTTCCCAGGATTCTGGACCTGGCCTACCAGGGCACCTGGTTGATGGCACGGTCTACAGTCTGCCTTGTATATGTCGGGGCTGTTGCTTGGGTACCAACGTGATTATGTTCTAAGCAATCCTAGGTACAGTCGTCGAGAATTTAGGAGCACAGAGTATTTCCTGTTTGAGTATTCTACTTGGAAGGCCATTTGAACCTTGACAAACATTTGTGAAATAATATTCAAATATTTGAGACCGAATCAGATAATATTTAAGCTCAGTGGCATGCTCTTGTAGTCCGACCTACTTGGGAGATTGAGGCAGGAGGATCACTTGTGCCCAGGAGTTGGATCTAGTCTGGGCAACATAGCAAGACACCATGTCCAAAAATAGATTGCACGAGCCAATAAATTCACTATTGAAACAACAAAGCAGATAACGTCAAAACCAGTTACAGGACCTTTTGTCAGCTCACAACTCTATTGTGCATTTAAGATTGCTATGAATTATTTGTTTTCCTTCACGTCGATTTTTAAAATTTTCTTATTCTCCCCATGTTAAGTCATAGTATCTTCCTAACTATTCAGTGTTTGGCTTTGTTGGGGTTGGTGGTTGTCGTCGTCGTCGTTAGTTTGAGACGGGGTCTCACTCTGTTGCCCATGCTGTAGAGCCGTGGTTGATCTCAGCTCACTGCAGCCTGGAACTCCTGACTTCAAGCAATCCTCCCCCATCTCAGCCTCCTGAGTGGCTGGGGCTGCAGGAATGCACCTCCACACATAGCTAATTTTTGTATTTTTTATGTAGACACGGGGTTTCACCTTGTTGCCCAGGCTGGTCTCAAAACTCTGGGCTCAAGCAATCCGCCCACCTCAACCTCCCAAAGTGCTGGGATTACAGGCGTGAGCCACTGCACCCAGCCTTGATTTGTTGTTTTTTAAGTAACAGGAGTAATTTCTTAAGCTGAAATGTAAGCACAGAGGTTGGGGTGTGTGCTGACCTGTATTGTGTTTGCAGTTGTAATTTGGATCTGAGTAGTGGTTTATCCTTTCACTGGAAAAGTATCTGCAGTATTCCTCCAGGGCTTCCTGAGAGCATGCCTTACGTCAGGCGTGAGGCTTGAGAGACAAGCGGTGGAAGAGTTGCAGCCTGTTACATCTCTGGAGTGTAAACCCGAGCCTCCTTCTGGCCCCTGGAAGGGGACAGCATCGTTATGGAATGGTGTGCACGTTACCTGTTGGATCTGTCTCCATCTTCACTCAGGCAGAAGGCTATCAAAAAGATGCCTATGACTTCAGGTGGCCCATTTAGCTGGCTTCTTACTGATTCCGTAATCTGAGGTGTTCACTTAGAGATTCAGACACAAATACATCCAAACTGCCTTCCCAGTCAGGGGGCTGGGATTCTTTCATCTCGGCAGGAAAAGAACAGGGTCCAGGCCCTTTAGTAAAGACAAGAGCCTCAGTACCAATCAAGCAGATACTAAAAGGGATTTCCCTTAGAAAATCATTTTGTGCCTCTGCGTTCAGCCTCCTGGAAGAAAGTATTAGTAATAATAGCTGGCCTCCTCTTAGCCTTCATTACAGCCCGGCAGTGTTGGGAATCCCATTTAATCCTCGTGATGACTCTAGAAGGTAGGCACTCTTACCATCCCTGTTTTAGTGTTGAGGAAACAGGCCCAGAGAGGTCAAGTAAGTTGCCCAGAGGTACCCCAGGTCAGAGCCAAGCAGTCCGACCCAAATCTGATCCTGGTAAGTCCAAAGAAAGCCCCGTCCAGGATGTGGTGCAAATGGGGGCAGATAAAGTGTGAGTTTGGGGGTAGGCTGAGATTTGTTTCGGTGAATTCCAAGGTGTTAGGCAACTCTCACTACTGGGCATTAAGATGCTTTGCAGAGGGCCGCAGCGGGTGGGCTCAGAGAGGAACGGGGTTGTGCACAGGACTGTACAACTAACACATGGCAAGGCTGGGGCACGGGCATCCCTGGTGAGAAACATTATGCCCATTTGAAAGAAAAGTTCAAAATAGTGTATATTTTTATCTGGACTCTTTCACCAGGATTGAAGGTCATATCCTCACATAGAATAGCCTCCCTTCCTTTCCTTTGTATGGCTCAGCCTTTTCTGGGACAAGATATTGTCCCCACCAGTCATTTCCTCTATCTGTCTTCTGTGTGTGAGTCACTAACCTGGGAACCCAGCATTCGATGCTGTGCCCTGCCTTAGGATTTCTCTATTCAACTCCCCTGTCTCTGTCTCAGAGTCTTGGCTCCCTGGCCTATGTGCCTGAATGCTTCAAATAGACCATAAGCTTTTTCAGAAGCAGGATTGTGTTTTACACACTACCCTCTCCCCTGCCACACACACAGTGTGCTAAAACCCAACAATGACTGTTTATTGATTTTTCTTGATTGGATGAGGTAAGATGGTAACTTCTTTTTTTTTAAGCTTTGTAAACTGGTTCAAGGGCAATTAAAAATGATTTGCCTTGTGGGGTTGATGAGGATCCCATTAAATTCATGTTTCTAAAGAGTATTCCAGCATCAGGAACCCGAAGGGCATCGATTTGATAGGTCCTGTGGTCCAGCCTAGGAATCTGCATGTGTCCCATGTGACTTTTTAGCCCACTAAAGTTTGGAAAGCACAACTTCAAATTGTTAATGATCAAATCATAGAAAATCATAGCATAGCTGCCAGGCGCGGTGGCTCACACCTGTAATTCTAACACTGTGGGAGGCCAAGGCAGGCGAATCATGAGGTCAGGAGTTTGAGACCAGCCTGGCCAACATGGTGAAACCCCATCTCTATTAAAAATACAAAAAATTAGCTGGGCGTGGTGGTGGGCACCTGTAATCCTAGCTAGTCAGGAGGCTGAGGCAGGAGAATCGCTTGAACCTGGGAGGTGGAGGTTGCAGTGAGCTGAAATTGTGCCACTGCACTCCAGCCTGGGCGACAGAGTGAGACTCCATCTCAAAAATCATATTGTAAATAACTATCCAGCTCTTACTCATGGTGCTCACTGCAGAAACGGTCCTACCAATGTTGATGAATATTTATATGATGTTGTTTTTCCTGCAGATTCCTAACCAGCATAATGCTGGAGCCGGGGGCCACCAGCCTGCAGTTTTCAGAATGGCCGAGTTGGACGCGGATTTGGATCACATCCTTCCCTCTCCTGTTCTTCCTCCTTCCTGGGCTAAGTTAGTAGTGGGACTGGTGGCCATTGTGTGTTTTGCTCGGAGCTATGATGGAGACTTTGTCTTTGATGATTCAGAAGCTATTGTTAACAATAAGGTTTGTATCTCAGCTCCCTTCTGGTCAACTTAACTGCTCACCTGTGTCTCAGTAATCATCTAAGTTTGTGTTGCATTGTTCTCTGTGAAACGTAGGTTAGGCATTGGTCTGTGCCCCAGTCGTGCTCTCGATTATTATGTCTCTTTTCAACATCGCCTCCTTGATTTAGTGCCTTTCTTATTGCTGGCACCAAGGTTCTGAACCCCTCCCTGAGCTGAGGCTTTCCCCTCAAGAGCCCCAGTCCACATGTGGATCAAAGAGGCCGTTCTTCTAAGATTACAAGGCAAGGGTATTGCAGGGCATCACAGAGTAAGGATTTCAGGTTTTGTGAAACATTTCCACAGTCATCCAAAAAAAAAAAAAAAACCCATCACACATTTGCTGCAGTGATGGACTGGTCTGATCACCTGCCAGAAGGCGCATCTTCAGCAGCAGGCAGGGAGCTGGTGCCACTTTGTCCTCCTCTGAGACTGTCAGGACAGCCTGCTGACAGCTGCTGGGGCAGGAGGAACGTGCTGCCCATGGGCGCTGCAGTTCCTGCTCGTTTCGTGTTTGGAGATTCAGTTTTGCTGAACATGCAAAATCCCAGTCGATTTTGCTTACCAGTGGTTGTTATATATCAGTGCAGAGAAAATGGTAATCTTTTTCCACTCCCTACCCAGAGCTAGGGCAGAAGAAAGAGCTCTGTGGGAAAAGATGAAAAAGATTCAAGCAGGCTAAAAACCAGAGCAAGAAATGCAGAGGCAGGCAAGGCCCAGAGGAGAAAGAACTTGAAAATGGCACTGGGTAGAGCCTCTCAATGGTCTGTTGCTCAGAAGATATTTTATGTGTATTCCTTAGCCCGTGAAGAAGACTTGGAGGAATACACACATTTAGCTCGCTGCTTGATGTAATTATAGCAACTCTTTGTAACGCTGTTGAATGCTCTTAAAAATATGAAGTCATGGTTTCTACCAAATAGGTATAAAGTCGTTTTCATGGTGAAAATGTTGTGAAAAACTCTTTATGTGACAAACATGTATTGTATGGGGGAGGAACATGACTTATTTGCATATTTTTATTTGTAACATAATATTGCAATTGATCTCCATTTTGATGGCATAAACTAGAGTATTGTTAATGTTTTAATGGATTTTTTTGTTGTGGTGGTTGTTTATGAGACAGAGTTTCACTCTGTCACCCACGCTGGAGTAGAGTGTCATGAACTTGGCTCTCTACAACCTCTGTCTCTGGGGTTCAAGCAATTCTGCTGGCTCAGCCTCCCAAATAGCTGGGACTACAGGCATGCCACGCCCAGCTAATATTTGTGTTTTTAGTAGAGACTGGGTTTTACCATGTTGGCCAGGCTGGTCTCGAACTCCTGACCTCATATGGTCTGCCCACCTCAGCCTCCAGAAGTGCTGAGATTATAGGCATGAACCACCGCACCCAGCCAATGTTTATTTTTAATTCAAGTTTTTCATTTGTAATTTTCTTCAAGTTCACTCAGTAGTTACTGTAGATGATTCTATTTCAGTGCTTTCTTAAATCATGCTTAAGAGAACTAAGTAACTGTACACAATTATATCAAATTGGTGACTTTTTCATGGGGTAGGGACAAGGTCTTACTCTGCTGCCCAGGCTGGAGTGCAGTGGTGTGATCATAGCTCACTGCAGCCTCCAATGCCTAGGCTTAAGCCATCCTCTCATCTTTGCCTCCCAAGTAGCTAGGATTACAGTCATGCACCACCACACCCAGCTGATTTTTTAAATTTAGTAGAGACAGTCTCACTGTGTTGCCTGGGCTGATCTCAAACTCCTATCCTAAAGCTACCCTCCCACCTTTGCCTCCCAAACTGCTGGGATGACAAGCCCAAGCCACCTTGCCCAGCACAAATTGGTGGCGTAATGGTTACAGAACTGCTTTTCTCACAAAGATAGAGTTTTATTGTTTAAATTCCATTATTCATTTTGGTGAGAATATCTTGACTCCTCCACTTGTAGAAAGCAGAAGACATATAAAGTGTTAATTCAGAAACCATGTTGAAAAATGTTGGTCAGCCAGGCAGAACAAAAACATGAGCTGGGCTGTGTGTGGAGGCCCTGATGTCTGGGTGTAATTCTTGCTCCTTCTGTGAGGTGAGGCAGATGAAGCCATTTCGTGGCTCTGCCGAGCATGGTCTTGGCAGTGTTTTCGGGAGCATCACACTGTGCCCCTTTTGTTAACTTGCTAGCCCTCCCTTTTTCTTCTCCTGGTTAATGAAAGGCACTCCTCTGTTCATTGGCACCATGCCTAAAGTAATGTGAAACAGGCTGTTACTGGATTTTAGTGATGTTAGAGACTGTTTTCCAGATGCTTCCTTGCAGTGTGGAGTTGCCTTTTTTGTTCCTTGAGATGATGATCTTCTTTGAGACAGTGGAGTTAGGGGGAATTTCAGACACAATACATCTTTTCCATAAATCATGATGAGGAAGAATTGACTTTTCTTCCTGTAGCACACCTGCTGTGTGTAGGCTCCACCTAATCAAATATTTAGAGCCTTGTTGGTGTTCATTTCCTGTTCAAAGAGAGGGAAAGATCCTCTGCCCAAGCCCTTCTCAACTGACCAAGCACTTCTGTAAGAGTGTAGGAGAAGGTGGGCTTTCCAGGCTTGCCACTGAGTCAACCAAGGGAGCAGGTCACACAACCTTCACAGAATCTCTCACCCGCTCTTGGGGTATGGTCAGTGTGCTCCCAGCTTCTGAAGCCCGTCGCCATGGAAGCAGATGTTACCCTTACAGTGGGCATCAGTGACCAGCTTTGCATCTCTGGCCTCTTTTCAAGCCTCTCCCTTTGAGTCAGCAAGCACTTAAGTCACAAGTACTGAACTGCATGATGGGTATGGTCCTTTGTTGCTTTTTGGGGCTACCCATCATTTGACCCATTTCTGTTGGGGCTCAGAAGACCATTATATTAGGGAGCTGGCCCAGACAGGGGCTGTCCCGTCAGGTGCGCCCACCTGTTGGAGTCAGGAACTGGTCACACAAAGATATGGGGGCCCAGAGACAGCCAAGCAGTCTTGGCCCGGGGCATGATTTGTGGGGTGCTCCTGCCTCGGCCCTGCCCTGGCTTTCCAGGCCATGTGGGGTCCATGAGCTGCACACTCCCCTTTGAAGAATTCCCTTTTTGTTTAAATTAATCAGAGTTTGGTTACTTTGATGAAGAAACTTGACTGATAACACGGGGAAATGATCAGCATGTTGTAATTCCAGTCCCTAAAACATTCCTGTTTAATTATGCTTTAAAGAGAAAGTCGATCTGTCGTTTTTCTTAACTTACTCCACAGTGCCTTGTTTGCCTCTCTTCTCATTAGACACAATTAAAGTCATCTACTTTCATCTTTTAAATGTAAAAAAAAAATGCATTTTTAAGCATCTGTAGTGGAGTACCAAATTTAACTACCCCAGCAGTAAGAGGTATAGTTTTCTTTAATATTTAGTGTTTTTTTTTTTAATCTGTTAAGAGTTTTTTTTAATCTGTTAAAATGAAGGGTTTTTTTCCTGATTTCACAGTCTGCTTAGCTCATGTTCAAAAATGGAAACTTAAAAAAATATGTTTATTCATACTTATGTTTTAACTAGGACATTTTGGTAAGTTACCTTATTTATTAGATATGAAAGGTTAATAGTGATCTATTTAGCTGTGTGGTCCACTTATTTGACATGTATTAAACACCTTCTGTATACAACCAGCAAACCCAGATGTAGCCCAGTCCTCCTGAGCCCAGTCTAGTGGCACAAATAGTAGTCATGTAAAACTAAGTTGCCAGGGTACCACACATTGCTTGACAGGGTGAGATGGCCAGAGACCCAGGGCAGAGGAATGGATCGCTCAGGAAGGGCAGAGCTGGGCAGCTGGGAGATGAACAGTGGGAGGAGTTGAGCTGTGATGAGTTGAGGGTGACTGTACAGGGGAGACCCGCACATTCAGAGTCTCTGGGTTTGGAGCTGGCAGGGGCATAACGCCAAAGCCCTGGGCCTACAGAGTTCGGGGGAAGCCAGGGTCTGCGACAGCCCCTTCAGCATATCGACTGTGTCCCAGAAGGGTGAGAGCTGTTTGGTGTTTCAAGCCCGGTGGGGTGAGCCCATGTGCACCTCTAGACGATCAGCATAGAGAACATGTTGGGCGCAGCAACCCCATGAGCAGGCCTGACTGCATTCCAGGTGAGAGTTGGAAGAGCTTGGCTCAGGGCTGGCTGGAGACCCTTGTCCAGAACACCCACTTTGTGTCCCTGCAGGACCTCCAAGCAGAAACACCCCTCGGTGACCTGTGGCACCATGACTTCTGGGGCAGTCGACTGAGCAGCAACACCAGCCACAAGTCCTACCGGCCTCTCACCGTCCTGACTTTCAGGTAAGCCATGACATCGATGGGCCTGGGAGGGTCACTCCCAGCTTGTGTGTGACATTTGAATTCGGGTATGTTTCATTGGGTTCTCAGCATTGAGGATTCCAGTCAGTGGCTCCAGGCGGGTCTGAGCTGCTCACATGCATGGGTCTCTAGGTGCAGAGAAGACAAACGTGGCCGCTGTGAAGGATGACCTGCACGTTGGTGGTGTTTCATATTTTTCTCACTTCTTGGAGGTTTGACCTTTTGCTTCTTAACACCAGTGGAATGATAGGAGTGAAAGCAATATGGGGCCTCTGATGAAACTGATTTTTTTTCACTACAGAAATAAATAAGGTATAAATCATTCTACTGTTAGCAAGTCAATACGCAGAAGCAAGATGCAGCTTAAAAACAATCCCCCTCCATTAATCAGAGAGCCCCTTGCACTGAATGGATGCATTCACCTCACAAAGGTTCTCATCCATACCTGCTGCTTGGGTCCATACCTGCTGCTTGGGTGCATTTAAACATTTGTGTTCAGACATCCCACAGAAGCATGGGAGTGATGAATTGGAACCACCAGTGGCTGAGAAGCAGTCGGAAGAGGAATTCCTGCCAGTGTGAGGGTGTTTTGCTGGGGAAAGGCTGGTGGGCATACTGATAAGGAGCCCTTTTTTGGAGGATAATCAAGTTACAAGACTATCTTAAACCCAGGTCCCTAGCGGGTAGCCATGATTAATGTGTGGAATATTAGATCGTCTTAGAAAGCAGCCTTGCCCTTTCTGCACTTAAAAAGTCGTCTAGCTTTCCTTTTGATTTTCCTCTGCAAGTTGTTTTTAGCGCCACTCTCCTTGGACACCTCCATTTCCTCCATTTTTCTCTGTAGTTAATTACATTCCCACCTTTTCTGCAACCTTATTAGCTCGACAGGCATTGTTTATCTTGATGCTGTTTTTATCAGGCTGGCACAACGTCTTCTGCTTCTCCTTTTCATATTTCCACACACAAGCCTTTTCCTCCAGACCACTGCCATTTCTTGCTGCATGCCACTACACGTCTACCCTGAACACCCTGTGTTTCTGCAGGATTAACTACTACCTGTCAGGAGGCTTCTACCCCGTGGGCTTTCATGTGGTCAACATCCTTCTTCACAGTGGCATCTCTGTCCTCATGGTGGATGTCTTCTCGGTTCTGCTTGGTGGCCTACAGTACACCAGTAAAGGTCGGAGGCTACACCTTGCCCCCAGGGCGTCCCTGCTGGCCGCATTGCTGTTTGCTGTCCATCCTGTGCACACTGAATGCGTAAGTATCGTCTGCCTGAGGCATCTGTATGCACATGAGAAGCGACATGATATTCCTGTGTCACCCGGTTTCCTAAAACAGGCTCCCTTTATGTACTCCTCTTGGTTCAAGAGCTGGAGAAAGTCTACACTATAGTATACTCTAGAAATAGAAAGAACACTACATAAATACCTGGTCAGATATTTGAAACAGTTCTCTCTGGGACAGAGGCATCTCTGTTTTGGAAAAATGCAGAGCACCATATTGGTGGAGACTGTGTGATAAGGGATGGTGCGCTCTCTGCTGATACTTCCTGTTCAAATTCCAGGATCACGCCAGCTGTGAAGGCATGGAAGTTGAATATTGCCTGGCTTTGGAGTCTGAAGTTCAGAGGCTAAGAACCATTCTGCAGTAGAGGGTTGATGCACTGTTTCCGTGTTTGCTGACAGCTTTATGATTTATAAAATCCTTTCTTAGACTTAAAATAATTGTTAGGAGAACACTATGACACCAGCTGGGCTAATGTAACAGTGTCCACTTTAGAGATGGGGAACGGCCTGGGAGGATAAAAATTTATATAGGGTGAGGAGCAAGTGGATGGGAGGTAGGACTTAAATCCTGGGCTTCCCAGGCCTCCACTGAGGAGATGCTGACGTTCTTAGAGTTGAACTGGAAAGCGGTGCCCACGCCCTGCTGGGGAGCTGCTCGTGGAGTCTCTGCTCTCCTTGTCCTCCTCACCCTGTGTGATCCTCTCCCCCCGGTGATTAGGCAGCTCCGACGGGTGCCCCACTTGGCCTCCCGGAGGCTGCGTCTCCATCCCATCGAGCTGCCTCTGTGTGTATTTGGAACAGGCTGTACTGGGATTTCTCTAGACATTTGTGAAGTTTTCAGGATCCACCCCCTGCACCACCACATGACTCTCAAAATGCAAGGCAGCATGTTTGCTGAGGTAAAAGATTTGATTCGAGTCACTCATTCTGTGAGCATGAAGTGCCTAGTATAAAATATCACACGTACCTTTATTACTTCTCCCACAGTAGCCTTCTCATTTCATACAGATTGAAATATCTATATTTAACCAATTGTATTTTGCTTATTGAAGTTTCAAGATGCTGAGCAGAAGTCCTCTTTTTAGCACTGATTTTATTAAATTGTCTATTCTTTGGAATCAAAAGTGTTAGGGAGTTGTTATCACCCCCTCCTCTAACATCTTTTTAAATTTTATTTTATTTTTTACCTCAGCAAATTCAGAGGACATTAAGGGCTGAATAGGCTGGGGACGGCTTTGTGAAAATTTAGTTATAAGCGCTTTGTTTATACATAACTGTGACTGAATTAGATTTTGTTTCAATCTGAGTTCTCTCTGGGACCCAGAAATAGTGCAGGCATTGATCCTAAATCTATGGAAGATAGAGATTCACTGGAAAAGTACTGATTCTGTTTTCCATCTCGTCTAATTTAGCATGATCTTTAGAGCAAAATGAAATATTTGAATTATTAGCCAAGGAGGGTTTTCTCAAATTCTCATTTTAAATATTCAGAAGTTGATTTATGAAAAGGTTTCAAGTGCTAACAAGTATAAGTGGATATGCTTACACACGTACACACTCACATACATGCACATTCTTCACTCACACACACACTCCAGATAAATGCAACCTGGGAACACGGTCATCTTAAAAGTCCACATTCCAGATTGTTAAAAGGAAATGGAGACAGGCTGGCTCTAGGAAAAAAGGGACTATTTGAAAAACCTCTTTATCTCTTCCCCTTCCCACCATGACATTCATTCAAACTCAGATTTCAGGAAATACTTATGGAGAATTAAAAGGTAGCATTGTAAGGCAGATATTTTTTGTATGTTTATCTTTCCTTGTTGCTGCAGATAATATTCAGTTTCCTTCTGTCTGCATTTCCCTGTTATCTCCCACCCTGCAGTTAAAAATTCCAGCGTTAGGTGGAACATGGTGGCTCAGGTCTGTAATCCCAGCACTTTGGGAGGCCAAGGCAGGCAGATCACTTGAGGTCAGGAGCTCCAGCCTGACCAACATGGTAAAACCCCGTATCTACTAAAACTACAAAAATTAGCTGGGCACGATGATACACGCCTGTAGTCCCAGCTACTCAGGAGGTTGAGGCAGGAGAATGGTTTGAACTCAGGAGGCAGAGGCTACAGTGAGCCAAAATTATGCCACTGAACTCCAGCCTCGGTGACAGAGTGAGACTCTGTCTCAAAAAAAAAGAAAAAAGAAATTCCAGCTTTAAAAACATGCAAAGAGCCGGACGCCCAAGGAAATGGGTGACAGGCGAGCTCCTCCAGGCGTCTAGCACCCAGGAGACAGCCCCGCTTGCTGGTGGGCGGAGCCAACAGCCTGGATGATGGCCTTGGCCACAGCATCCCCAGCCACATTGATCCCTGTGAGATGAGGAAATGGGGATTTGGTTAGTAAACTGCCTCAGTTTGCCACATTTGCCTCATTGTACATTTATTAAGAGAAAGTCATAGCAGTGTAGGCCCCTGCATGTTTTAGTGACATGAATTTCTTTTGAGACAGAGTTTTGCCCTGTTGACCAGGCTGGAGTGCACTGTAACCTCTACCTCCCAGGTTCAAGTGATTCTCCTGCCTCAGCCTCCCAAGTAGTTAAGACTACAGACGTGCATCACCACATCCAGCTAATTTTTGTATTTTTAGTAGTGACGGGGTTTCACCATTATGGCCAGGCTGGTATCAAACTCTTGGCCCCAAGTGATCTGCCCACCTCGGCCTCCCAAAGCGCTGGGATTACAGGCGTGAGCCATTGCACCTGGCCTGACATGAATTTCTTTATATTAACATTTATATTCATATGTTTTATGTCTTTACCACTCTCTAGCATTTAACACTGGAAATGATTTTGCCCACTGCAAATAAGCACCTGAATTTTCCAGTCTTCTAGGGTGGTCAGCCATCTAGTGTGCCTGGGATTGAGAGGGTTCTGGGTCTGCGGACTTTCCATTTTAAAGCCAGGACAGCCGGGGCAAATGGGATTGCCACACCCCAGTCTTTCCCCTTCCTGGTCTCCGCTTGGTGATGCTGTAATTGCAATTAGTGTTTTGTGCTCCTCAGCTGATGGGAATATCTGTCTTTTTCTAATGAGCCACCACATTGCTCTGAGTGGTTTGTAGACACCCAAAGCCTCTGACAGAGCAGTCCCCACTGTAGGGAAGAGAGCCTGGGAGGGCCACATGGCCGCTGGTCTGCTGGTGGCTCTTCAGCTCTGTGTGGCCATCAGCAGGAGGACCCCAGTGCTTGTGTGGGTTTTGCTTTTTGTTTTCCTCAAAGCGTTGGGGAAGATTTCACATTGCCTGAATTCCAGCATCGAAGAGAGAAGCTCAGATCCCCTTAAGAGTTCTGCCTGTAGCCCAGTATGGTGGTGTGCTCCTGTAGTCCCAGCTACTTGGGAGGCTGAGGCGGGAGGACCACTTGAGCCCAGGAGTTTGAGGCTGCAGTGAGCTATGATCACGCCAGTGCATTCCAGACTGGGAAACAGAGCAAGGCCCTGTCTCTAAAAGTAAAAAATTAAACAAAATGTTTAAAAAGAGTTCTGTCTAATGAACCTAGACTTTTTAATCCAAAAGGAACTAGGAATGGAAACGTTCCCCATCTCCCTAATTTCTTGTTATGGCCCCCATGCAAATCGTACCTACTGGGGAAACAATGATGTCACCTGCTTTATGAATTCAGGGGAATGGCAGTGATTTCCCAGAAAACTCTGAGTGTTTTACATTATTTGTGAGAAAAAAAATAGCCCTTGTAGAAAAGTTTGCCTCAAAATACATATTATGCAGATAACAGAAGAGGAAGAGAAAATGTTTTGTTGCTTGTGTACATTCTCAAGCAGTGATTGGAAGCATCCCTCCTCGGGTAGGTTTTAACATTCTTTCAGTGAAATCTCTCTTAATTACTATGCCAGAAATTCATTGTAAATACTAAATGTTCTTTTGCTTTAAAACACTTTCCATACTTTAAAATTTTTGTTTTTCTTTATGTCAAGGAACATAATGTACATTGCTTACAGTCTTGGGACTGTCTTCAACAGTCAGCAAAAAGAGAAACATTTCTGTAAAAGGAAGTTTTTGATGTTTCAATTTCATTTTTGGTGATTCTAGCTATTCAGATAGCAAGTGGTTTAGGCAGCCTGGCTCTCCTGGCTCCTAGCTCCAGTATTGTTAAAACTGCTTCCTTCCCCCTCACTCACCTCTCTTCACCTTGGTCTCTGACCTCTGCTCCCCTGCTTCCCATGACCCTTTCGGACAGGCTTGTCCGGGTTGACATTCATTGCTTTCTCTTCTGTAAGAGGTTGGGATTCCAGTCCGTTCTGAGGTGCTTTAGATAGCTACAGCTCTAGGATGCTCCTGTCTCCTCTCGTGTGCTCCTGGCATGAGGACCCAGACAGCCAGGATGCTCCAGCTGCCTCCTCACTCACTTGGGGCTGGCTGCAGAGGTAATGCCTAGGCTTCTGTGTCCTTTGTCCTTTTCCTTTCTGCTACTCCTGTTCATAGACACACCCCATAGGACCCACCAGGAGAACTAACAGTGAGTTGCACCTAGCCTGTGCCAGGCTCTGTTCTGGGTGACTGCATATCTGACTGTTTTACTGTGTCCCTGATTGAGTCAGTTTCCAGCCCTGAGTATTCCAGAGCTCTCATTGCTTATTCATTTCATTCATAAAGCAATTGGATTGTTCCCCTCCAGCATACTGGCATACTTGTTCCAGAGCTGTTACGCCTTTGTTTTGTCCCTAGCTTCCTTTTTGGTAGTGTTTGTGTGTGTGTGTGGTGTTCATTGGATGGATTTATCTGCTTATTCAGTCTTCCCAGCCATCACCTGACACCACGGGCTGCCACGTGCCCACTATCAGGAGGTCACAGTTAAAGTGACAAATGGTCCTTGACATTTCATATATAACCAGTGTAGGGAAATCTGCTCCTAAAAGACATTCTGTTTTAGCTATTGACTGCACATGAACTTGAACATTATATGTAAATATAGTAATTTCATTGTGTATTTTCTTATCTTGAGTTATAGAACAGTCCTTTATTCTGCACTCACATGTCCCCATCCTTTGGGAAGGGATTAACCTACCAGCCTTTAAAGTGACACCGGTACAATCACAGCAGAAGCTTGGGTCCATGTCACATTCAGGTGCCAGTTAGTAAAGAAGCCCACCTGTATTAGTACAGTACTCCTGGGTGGAATTCTGTGTCTTCCATTACCATAAAACAGCCTGAAAGAAAGAAACACAAAGTTTATATTGCTTCATTCTCACTGAGGAAAGGAAGGGAATGGCAGAGTCATCCTGTGGACAGTGTGGGAAGGAAATGGCAGAAATTCTATTCTGTTCTCATCCTACTTGTTAATCATTCTTGAAGCATTTCGCTTTCCAGGTTAACTCACTTAATCAGTTTTGGTCTGAAGGGAAGAAGAAAGGGCAGAGGCAGCTTTGAAAGATTACTCCTGTGTCTTTCTCTATCGGCAGGACGGCTTTTCACACTTCTTTCACACCTTTATGTCCTTCATGTTTCCAATCACATTTTATTTCTTAAATATCGTGCCCTTCAAGCTGATAACATTTTCCAATTGAAAATCCACTTTGTGACCTCAGAAGACTAAGTCTTTGGAGCTCTTGGGTATTGTGTGTTAAAGAACACAGCTTTTACGGCACACACGTATCACCATCTGTGTCCAGCAGAACAGCTAGCAGCAGGTTCAAACCAATTTAGTGTTCTCTTGAGGCGGTTAAATCAAGTCCTGTGCCCAAAAGGGAGAAGAGAACCGATTGTAAGATAACACCAAGTGCTATCACACAGCTACATGGTGTGTTTATTTGTTTCTTGTTTTATATGACTAAAGAATTTTGGTTTTGGCCAGGCATGTTGGCTCATGCCTGTAATCCTGGTACTTTGAGAAGCAGAGGTGGGTGAATCGCTTGAGCCCAGGCGTTTAAGACCAGCCTGGGCAACATGATGAAACCCCGTCGCTACAAAGAATACAAACATTAACCAGGTATGAAGGTGTGTGCCTGTGCTCCCAGCTACTCAGGATGCTGAGACGGGGTCATTGCTTGAGCCTAGGGGGTTTGAGGCAGCAGTGAGCCAAGATCACACCACTGCACTCCAGCCTGGGTGGCAGAGCAAGACCCTGTCTCGAAAAAAAAAATTGTTGTATCTCCTAAGTTTAGGATTTGCTTAAGTGTGTTTGATGTAATTCTTTGTTTTCTTCCCCTCTTTTAAGGTTGCTGGTGTTGTCGGCCGTGCAGACCTCCTGTGTGCCCTGTTCTTCTTGTTATCTTTCCTTGGCTACTGTAAAGCATTTAGAGAAAGTAAGCATTCCGTTCGCCTTCTTCATTTTCCACCTTCTTCATGTTTTTGTCCTGTTGAGCAGTGTCTTGACCTGTGGGAAAGAATCCATCTATGTGAGTGCATCACTCTGAGGGGATGTGGGCCAGAGGATGCATAAACTCTCTTTAGAGATGTATGTCTGCATCATTGCTTTTTCCGTAATGCAAAGCTCTGACATTGCTTTTCACACTGGCCTATCCTATTGTGTGCTGAGACCAAGAGCAGAAGCAGAAGGAGGATTGATTTTTGCTATTTTGTTTACTGTAAAATTGTAGGACTGCAAACAATTTCAGGACAGAATGTCCTGTTTTGATGTTCCAGGTATTTATTGCCCAGCTGTCCCTCCATCGCTTCCAAAAGTGGCTTGGGAAGAGCCAGGGAGATTTTTCATACCCGGTCCCTCCTCCATCCCATCCTGTCCAGACTGAACCCAGGCTCAGGCCATGTCTTGGAGCACCTGCGACTGCACTAAGGCACAGCAGAAAGGTGACTCCAGTGGCCCCAGCCTTTGCCAGTGCCCACTCAGGGCATGGTACACTCAACCATACCCACCCCCTTTTATTATTACTACTTTATCATGCCTAGATGAAACCACCACTTCTTCCCAAAGCCCATCGGTTTTCTGATACATTAGAGAGTTTGGGGACAGCTGAGTAGAACAGCTTCAAGTATTGAGAATAGTGGTGGTAACTTTTCTTCCTGTGACTTAGCAATAATACACTTCAGTCTCTTCCTGGGGTAGGGGTCTCCCCACCTGTGATAACTGTAAAACTCCCAAGAGACACACAGCTACCAGAGATCTGGCAAGGTTGCATCGCTGGGCCCATAATCAATTCAGTACCATCGTGTGACTCTTCATGAGACGGTGAATCGGTGATGGGGCTGGGAGGAAGGGATCCCTTCACTACTTCACTGTTAACGTGCACTACAGATCATGGTTCTTCCTTTTCAAAAGTTGGTAATTAAATCTGAATTTACAGATACTGATGGTAACAGTTTTATCAGAAGTCATGTTTTTCCTGAAGAAAATTTAAAATTAGGGGTTGTGGCTTTTCTCAAAGATAACTCTAAAGCTTCTTAAGGTACCATTTCATTGACTTTAGCATAGCCTCCCTTAAAGTCACTACTCCCTATTCTGAATGGATTTCGAAGACATCAGAGTGGTTTTTGAGGAAAGCACTAAACGCTGATAGATTTAAAGTGTGGGGGATATCATTTAGGAGATAGGATAGAACCTGTTACTACTTCTAAAGATTGCTCTTGTGAAATGACGAAAAAGCTGTCCTGATACTAAACATTCTTCCATCAAGTGAACAGATACATTTATTGAACTCCTTTAAGAGTATTCTCACAGAAAAGTGAAAAGGCTAGACATTTTATATTCTTTTTCTGGAACCTTTTACTAACCTTTTCTCTGTTTTAATTCACAAATTTGTATATTAATGTTTATATATTACGTATATATGTTTTTGATACGTTTATAAATCATAAAATTATTTCCAAGTATCCATGCAAAATACACTTTTTTATAAAGCTTTTGGAAACTAATACCAACGATAAAGGAGCTTAAATGTGTGATGGTTGTTCAATTAGCTAACACTGACTTATGAGAAATAGGCAAAGTATATTTCAATACTGACATAAATATATTAACTATTAGTACTAACATGACCTTTCTTTTTTGTCCAGTAACATTCTTTTTGCATTTATGATGTTTATTTTAAAATTGGAAAGCAATTATGAGGTCTTTAATATTAAGTTTGTAAGTTTTTTTGAGAATGTGAACCTGTGCGTTTTTGCATTTGCAAACCAATAGCAGTGGTAGATGTGGCTTCTGTAGAAACCTTTTTAAGATGACTGGATTTTGACTTGGTTGAAGTTACTTGGGGCGGTTAAAAGACAAACGGGTGGATTGGGAAGCCTTTAAACTGGTTTCTAGTGACCTCTTGTTACAAGCTGCCTCATCTTCGTGTGATCTGTTTGTTAACATGGACCCTCTTTAGTAAAAGGAAAGCGTCGATTAAAGTGAAGCCGATGGAGTTGCCTCCAGACTGGTTCTCTGGGCCTTTGCAGGCACCGACAGCTTGGTCTTTGGAAAATACAAAACTGCAGTAGTTTGCATCTTATGCTCATCCAGGCTTTGGTGTCTTGACCCTAAAAGTGATTGTTGATCATGCATTTTGTGTCTTTCCTGTCCCCTCATGTTGTCCACCTGCTCTGGCAGGCTTTGAGTTAGGGATCATCACAGTTTTCCTCGGCAGTGTAAAACAGGGAGTTTAAAACACCCTTTCCATAGTTTGGAATTGCTGCTATTTTCCATTCCCACTCATCGCTTCTAGACTTCTGACAAAGTGATTGCATTGTGCCTCTCGATTCCGTCGCAGGCGCAGAGCCACCTGGATTCTTGAGAGAGGGCCTTAGGTGCACTATGACCAGCTTACTTTGGGAATCCTTTGTGTTCCACATGTGAGCAGTTCTCTGACCCCTCCCAACAAGGTGCTGTGCCCTGAGACCCACCCACCGTTACTTCAGGACTTCAGGACTAGATGCCCAGCCCTGTCCAGCTTGTTCCCTGGCCCGGCGACACCAAAACAGCCCCTCACACTGCCAGCCCCTCTCTCCGCTCCTCCTCACAAATCCCAAAACCCCCTTTGTCTGATCACCCCCAGAACTGAGGCTCATGAAGTCTTCTGGAGCCTCTCCTGGTCTCTTAATAGAGGCACTGTTTTTAGCAACTTTTCTGTTTCTGATTTTCCATGCTCCTTTTCAACACACGAAGAACAGAATGTGCTTCTTTGCTGATAGATCCGACTCTTTGAAATAATCCTTGAACATCCTGTTAATGTTCAACAAAGTTTGTAGGGTGCTTAAGAGTCTTTTTTAGGAGGAGCAAACTTTCTACAAATTAATAATAGCTTTTTAGAGAAGAGAAGAAGCAATAAGAGCCCCGTATGCAAAAATAATTCTGGTGAAGGTGTTCATGAAAAGCCGTGGTTTCTGATTCTCTTCTAAAAGACTGTAGAGGCTTACGGATTTTGGTCATTCATTCCATCACCAATAGTTAATCAGACTTTAAGGATGCGTATTGTACCAGACCCTGTTTGCAGTACCGGGGACACAAAGACTAGAACAACAAAGTTTATGCCCCTCAGGGGTTTACACTTAAGTATATTTTGATTAAAATAAAGCTTCCATGATTCAGAATGCCTACAGAGCAGAATATTCTGGTTCTCCTTCCTTTCCTGTTGACTTTTTCCTTCCTGTACCCCTCATAGCAGGCACTAGTAAAGATCCCTTTCTTCTCATAGTGTGTTTATGCAAAATGGGAGGCTAAGGCCTTTGTTCTCATTCCCTTCATCTTCTATGAAATTTCCTTCAGTGCCACAAAACAGAGCTCTTGAACCTAATGAACATTCACGTGTATATATATTTTCATTTGAATCAAGGGCTGTGTTCATTTGGAGTTTGAGATATCTTAAATAGTCATGTGATTTTTTTTTATTATTTATTTATTTATTTAGAGACCAAGTCTTGCTCTGTTGCCCAGGCTGGAGTGCAGTGGTGCAGTCTCGGCTCAGTGCAATCTCCGCCTCCCAGGTTCAAGTGGTTCTCCTGCCGTAGCCTCCCAAGTAGCTGGGACTACAGTTGCCTGCCACCACGCTCAGCTAATTTTTGTGTTTTTAGTAGAGACGGGGTTTCGCCATGTTGACCAGGCTGATCTTGAACTCCTCACCTCAAGTGATCTGCCCACCTTGGCTTTCCAAAGTGCTGGGATTACAGGTTCAGCCACCATGCCCAACCATGCTTTTTTTGGTTTTCTTCTGAGACGGAGTTTGGCTCTTGTCGCCCGGGGTTAGAATGCAGGGGCACGGTGTGAACCTGGGAGGCCAACTGCAATCTCTGCTTCCCAGGTTCAAGCAGTTCTCCTGCCTCAGCCTCCAGTCATGTTTTTACTTTACCCTATCTAGTCAGTACAAATTGTACAAAAAGTGGAGTGGTAAACACATGTATTTATTGTCATTGCAGCGGTGATTTCCTGTTCCAAGTGCCCACATCTATAAATGTTCGACAGAGAATAAAAACTAACTCTTTCATGGTAGACAAGTCCATTATTTATTGAAATACAAGTTATAATGCTATTTAATGTTTAAATTTCAGGTTTAAAGTAACCTGATCTTTGTAATTTTGGGATCTGAACATAAATTAAAAGAAAGGTCTAACATCAGAGGAATAAATTTAATATTATTTTATAAGGAAACAAAAAATTAAGTACCCTGAAATTGATGATTCAACTAGTTAAAAAGCTCTTTCAGAGAATATATTTTTTTGGTAACATCATTACCTTTTTTAATGAATGGGATGTCTTTATTATAAAGCTCTGGACAATTTTTGACTACTTGAATTTGTCCTAACCTCTGGAATCCTAGTATTTTCAGAAAATGAAAAATGTACTCACATAACATTTCTGGGGCTCTGCCTTTTTTTCTTTTTTTTTTTTTGGTGCATAAATAGAATGTCTAGCAAGATCTTTGGAACAGAATTTTTTTAAAGTAAATGTCCTTATAAAGGAAGCATACTTTTTCTTAAAAAAAAAAAAAGCCCACTAATTCAAATGAAATCAGTGGCACACTGGTTATTACTTGTGAATGCCCAAAACAAAAAGTGTTATTCTTGCAGTGAGGCATCTTGTGTTTATGTCCCTCTTAAAGCCTGGTATTTCAGATTGGAAACAGATAGTCTCTGCACATTAAACTCACTAGAAGAGCCAAAACCATTTTGTTTCTAAACTGATACCTTAAAATACTTGTGTAATGGGAGTTAAGACCAAAAGGAGAAATTTACTCTCATTTATAGTGGGGAGGAGAGAATCTTTTCCAGAGAGGGATGGATTTGCTCTATACCTAGGACAACCATTTTAAGTTCTAAATTCTTATTCATAATATTAAAGGCAGGATCTCAAGTCTCCGTTGTTCTTAAGCTG